CCTGTCCCCCCGCCCCCCGCAGCGCCAGCGGTTTCCAGCCGCGCGCTTCCTGCAGGCTTCCTGGCACCGCGCGACCCCCTCCCCGGCCTTGGTGCTCGCCGCCCTCGCCCTGTACCGGGTTCATGTGCCCTTCAGTCCTAGTTTATTTTCATCTCGTCTTTCCTAATCCTCCACGCCATCCAGGACCAAAGATCTCGGTTTTTTAAGTTGTGTTTTGTATATATTCTACACTAGCGATTAGTATTGTTTGCCTGAATTATGAGCCTGCCCCCCCCCTTTTTTTTTTAAACAGGAAAGGCTCATTAAGGAAATATATATATTTTGTTAAGCTCTAAGAGGCTGGCTTTAGTTATCATTACCTTGTTTTCTTGTTAATGGACTTAATTTGGGTTAAAAAGGAGGGTGTTTTTCTTTGAAATGATCTTAGGCCCCCAGGCAGCTTTTAACAGATGGTATAGTTACGCTAGACCGTTTCAAAGTGAAAAATAGGTTATGTTTAATTTAATTAGCTTTGAAGAAACGTTTCTTGGCATTATTAGCAGCTAGCATACAAAACTGAATTGATTTGGAGATAAGGTTGTAAAATGGAGCAGTAACGGGAATAATGCATAAAACGTGGTTATGAACGTTGCTGCTCCCTTCCGAATTTACTCATCAAACTCAGCATGGCTGGGTTGGGTATGGTTTGAGCTTTCCTAGTTTAATGGCTGGGATTGGGATGGCCCACTTCTTTTACCTTGACCTCCTATTGTGGAACAGTCAGGCAAACTGCTAATACAAGGTCAGTCTAGAGTGCTAGATTATTTATGACAATGAATGAATTCTTTTTTTCTTCTTTATTTGAACATAAACTGTGTTGTACATATTGGGCCCTTAGTGGCATACAAAAATTAATATGACTCAGTCTCTTAAGAGGGGAGATGGAGAGAGCTAAAGATACTTTGATAATAAGCGTTCTACTACCTGGTATTGTAAGTGCGTTAAAAATAGGTACAGCATGCCTTGGAATTCTTTGAAAATTGGGATTTAGGCTTAAAAAAAAAACTCAGCAAAAGTAGATACACAAGGCTCTCTGCCTTACTGTGCTCAGGCATTCAGTAAACAGCAACTTGAAAGGAAGGCACCAGACTGTGTATCTCTGTCTGGAGGACCTGGGGAACTAGGGTCCTAGTAGGAATATAAGGAAAGGTTTTGCCTCTCCCACAAGCAGATTGTTCAAATTTTAGTGTATTCCATAGTAGAAAATTAGTAAATGTAACGAATTGTGAATTATGTATAACTTCGTGAACTCTGAATTAATACTTGTGATTTGATGACATAGTCTAAAAGCCAGAGAAAATTAAGAACATAGACAAAATATGAAAAATAGTATGACAGTGGCAAATTATATCTCAACATCTGTATAGTGCAACTGTTCCTCATGTTGTGTGAATGTCGTAATTTCCTGTGGTGAATAATTTTATGTTAGGTGTCATCAGTGAAAAGTGTAAAGCAGTAATGAGAGGAGTTACTTATATTTTTCCCTGGCTTTAACAGTGATTGATGTCCGATGTTTCTTGCATTGTACCATACACATAAACATCTAACTCCACTAAAATGAAGTATAAAAAGACCCATTGGCTTTGAGAAAGGTGTGAGATGTGTATGACACTTTCTCCTTGCTGGGTTCAGAACGCTTGACTCTGCATGTTATTTTAAACTTGGAAGAGCATAGATTAGAGTATAACTTCTAGCATTGTGCTCAGTATAACAACTGCAGTACCACAGAATGGTAGAATGAACCATGGAACTTCTTAAATTTTTGATTGGGGGAGAGTTAAATTGAATGTAATAGAACAATTCATAAATCATTTACATCATATGTTTTTCTTTCAGAATGCCTAAATCAAAGGAACTTGTTTCTTCGAGCTCTTCTGGCAGCGATTCTGACAGTGAGGTTGACAAAAAGGTGACTATTACTGCACCAGGTCCTGGCTGTGATACTTAATTCAGCAATATTGCCCATACCCAGTTCTGAAGGACAGCATTGCATGTCAGAATCTTAAAATGGAAGCTTGGATGGGTGTTTCTGAAAATGGGGATGGCCCCTGGCCGCATGACTTCACTCAGATGCCTAGGGTGCTGCTACATGCACACTCCTAGCCCCTAAATCAGACTCTAGCCAGCCTACAGACTTTAACTTCTGTTGAGGAACTCTAAAGCTGCAGAACCACTGCCATAGACCTAAAGGAATGGCATTAGAATTAGGCCAAAGTCACTATTTGCCATTCTTTAGAAATCTGCTTAATCTTTAGCTATTGTGTGAAGTAGTTGATCCAAATTATCTGAACTCCTGGAATGTATGTGTATGTCAGTTTTGACCGACTTCTCAGTCATTGGTGTTTATCCAACCCACAAATATTACCAAAAGTGTAGGCTTGGTACATTTTAAGTTAGAATGTTGTTTACTTTGGTTCCCTCCTTTTAGTTAAATCAACACCCAGCAAAGCTGACATGAAATTCCCCGTTTAGGCAGAATAGGCTTTTTCTTCATTAGATAACAACTGCACTGTAAGTGGTACATTGTTCCCCTTAACCACTCAAGCACCTCACACTTTAGTCAGGGCTTTCTTCCACACAGATCTGTCCTTTATCACCTGGAAGCTTACACAGTGTGTCTCTGAGCTTAGCTAGCAGAGTTAATTAAAAGAGAGCTTAAGGGAGAATCTTGGAGAAGATGGACCTTTATAGGGAAGCACGACCATATTATCATCTGGAAGATTGAAATAAGGCTTCAAAGAAAACACATATACTGTAGTAGGAAATCTCTCTTAATTTTTTTATTTGCACCTAGTATAGCATTTGAATATGTTCATTTAACATATTTTTATTGAGCTTTTATGTGCCAGGCATGTACCATTCCACAGGGAATATCTAGACAGATCCCAATATAAAGAATAATTGCTTTTGCTTACTGAGCTAAGTTTTGCTGTTTTTCCCACATAGTACTGTTAATCCTGTAAGGACTTATATTAAATACATCATTTTTTTGTTTATATACTTTATTTTATCTAGTTTCATGTAATTAGTATAACATTAAAATACATATTAGCTTAGGCTTCTCACTAAGGAGCATGACTGCCCTCTACTGTTTGGGTTGGGAACTCTTCTGGTTTTCATGGGCTGTTAGCTCATTTTGAGAATGAGGCTATATAAAAAGCTTTTGCAATAATGCTGCTTTTAAAACATTGTTTTGATTTTTTAAAAAAAATATCTTTATTGATTTCAGAGAGAGGAAGGGGGAGAGAGAGAAACATAAATGATGAGAATCATTGATGGGCTGCCCCCTGCACGCCCCCTGCTGGGGATCGTGCCTGAAACCCTGGCATGTACCCTGACTCAGAATCCAGCTGTGATCTGGATCCTAGGTCTATGGTAAACCACGCCTGGCCGGGCAACATTGTTTTCGTTTTGAATGTCAGTCTAATACATTGCTGTCTATCGTCAGTTAACTTCTTTGTGATGAGAAGATCTTGAATTGTTGACTTGTAGTGCCCAGTACAAAATAGGTTTAGCGTTGCCTACTCATAAATTCCCTAAGCCAGAGCATAAATAGTCATCTCCTAGAAATGGAATAAGCTGGTTGTATTTTTCCTAATTAGCACATCTCCTTTGTAGCTTTAGCAAACTTGTGGTTTCCAAAAGTTGTTTCAAAAGCAGCAGGCCCCTCATCTTGTTCCTCCCAAAGAAACCGTATGTGGGATCCTGGTCTACAAAAGAACTTTCTCTGCTTAATACCACTCTAATGCCTAAAGTATTTTTTGGGCTCTTGAGAACAGTTTGAAAACACTATTACATACCAGTGCTAGGTTAGTTTCAAAGTTTCAGTCAGGTGAAATGGGTAGGTTTATACTTACAATTTTTACATAATAAATGTAATCTTTTGACCCTTTAAGTCTTAAAAAGTATTGGAATCTATTGAACCTGTAGATGTAAGAAACACCGAAATTTGTAGAGAACTTTTATAAGAGTCTATTTGAGCCAAACTGGTGACATTGTCAGGAAGCAAGGTCTCAAATGTTCCGGAGAATAACAGTTTTGCAGTTTCTCGTACATTTGGAATTACAAAGGAAACATAAGGAAGATTACATGAAAAGCAAGGCTGGGATTGGATTATAGGTTAGTTAACAAGACCATGTTTTCTCTTGAGGGTGACTAATCTTCTCAGGGGTCTGAAAATGAGGCATTTCAGAGGTGTGTTAATCTAGATGCACAGAAACAATGGACAGGGCTTAATGCAAAGATAAACCTTTTACTAAAAAGTATATGCCTGGGGTGTGACCACCCTCCATGACCTGCCCAGTTAGGAATTTATGTATTCTATCACCCTGTGAGGTTACTGTTGGTCACTGAACTTGTTCATAACCCTCTTTTTTTCATAAACCTGAGAAGTGTTATTCTTAAGTGTGTGAATTTTAACCATATTCATGTTTTTCTTTCAAGTTAAAAAGGAAAAAGCAAGTTACTTCTGAAAAACCTGTAAAAAAGCAAAAGATGGGTGAAACTTCAAGAGCCCTGTCATCATCTAAGCAGAGCAGCAGCAGCAGAGATGATAACATGTTTCAGGTAAAGTTGGTTATTTTCTTAGATCCAGAGGATTTACCATATGGCTGGATCTGAACAATGATAAAAGGCCCTTAATCTGGATCCCAGGTCGACGCTCAACTGCTGAGCCACGCCTGGCTGGGCTCAACCCCTAATTTTATATGTAAAGGAACCAGGACCCACGTTTAGAGCTTATATTTTATTAGAGCATATTTGGGAAAACCAGATTTACTTTTAGGGGATGGTTATCTCACCAAAAAAGTGGGTTCAGTTCAATTTGGAAATCTTCCCATGCCTGGTAAGGGTATTAGACTCCTCACCCTTTTGAAAATGCCTCTCAGAGGAGCATAGGCCTTATTTCTAAAGTGACTTTTCACAGACCTGGTAGTGTAGGCCTTCTAAGAGATAATATATGTTTAATTTCGTCGTTATTACTGCTTTTTCCTTGAAATGGTATTTTGGTGGTAATACTGATTTTTAATTGGCTTAACAGCACATTAGAGTGCATTGGTTATGTAATATGAAATAAGGACTTTATTAGTAATGGTTTGATAATTTTATTAGAAAGATGAAGGATGGGGTTTTTGGAAGGAAAATGAGTTAGTATATTTTGTATAGTTTTTGAATCGATCGTAAATGCATTTTCTTAAAAATACATCTTTATTGATTTCAGAGATAGGAAGGGAGAGGGAGGAAGGAGGAGAGAGAGAGAAACATCAATGATGAGAGAGTCATTGATCGGCTGCCTCCTGCACACCCCCCAATGGAGATCGAGCCGGCAAGCCAGGCATGTGCCCTGACCGGGAATTGAACCATGATCTCCTGGATCCCAGGATGATGCTCAACTGCTGAGCTGTGCCTGCCAGGCAAATGCATTGTTCTTGAACGTCACTTTCCAGTTTATTGCTAGAAAAATGCATAATACTATGTAATACAATGTAAACCGACATATTGTTACATATTTACTTTATTCATAATACATGATACATAAGCATTTTTAGAGACTTCTTAAAACTTTCTATGTTGATGATGATTGTATCTGTTGAGTTTTACATCATCCTTTTCATTATTTTTCCTGCTTTATTGCTATTATTTCCAGTACAATATTGAAAAGAAGTGGTGAGGATAGGCATCCTTGCCTTGTTCCTGATCTTGGGCAATCATGACTTTCTCCTTCTTCTAATGCCACTGTTGCTTAAACTCTGGAGGGGAATGTGTATACTGCAGTGGTTTGCTTCTCTGGTATGGGAGAGTGAAAGTCCTGGGATAAACGTGGTGCATTTTTCTGTAGGGCCCATTTTTATTTGGAGATTTGCATTGAAGCTTTATGTTAAAATGAGGGATAGTATCTAAAATGCATAGTAACTTTTAGGTTCTAAGTGACTCAAATTTCGGTTGGAGTGGCAGTTAGTCTGTGTCTCTAGATTTTCCTTCATTCTGACCCCACAGCTGGTGTTCCTTGAAATGTTACCAAATTTTACACCTTTTCTCTACTTTGAATAGTTTCTTACTTAGTATACATCAAACACAAGTTATTTGAAAGTGATTAGGGACTTCAAATTGTAAATTTGTAAAGTTTTGAATATGTGGAAGGTCAGCCATGTTTGGGAGGAAGAAAATAATACCTCTTATCTTAACCTGCAGCAAACAAAAATAATTAGAACATACTTTTTGAAATTGTGGGTGAGGGTACTTCTGAGAAGTTTCTAGAGAGCAAGGGTAGAAATTAAAGTAGTTAGCCAACCATTTCTTGTGTTTACTGTGCTGTACTCTGTGCTTTACATAAAATAATTGAGTGCTTGTTGTTTCTTTTTTTTAAACAAACTACATTTATAAGTATAACTGATATATGTGTATAAGTACTTTTTAAAAAATGTTTTTATTGATTTCAGAGAGGAAGGGAGAGGGAGATAGAAATAGAAACATCAATGATGAGAGGGTCATTGATCTGCTTCCTCCTGCACGCCCCGTACTTGGGATGGAGTATGCAATCTGGGCATGTGCCCTGACTGGGAATTGAACCGTAATGTCCTGGATCATAGGTTGGTGTTCAACCACTGAACTATGCCGGCCGGGCTGAGTGCTTGTTACTTCTTATTTAAGACTGGTAAAATGCCATTAATATGCTAATGGTGTACGTATCTCTTTTTTAAAAATAGATTTACTTTTTCTAGTGGGATTTAAAGTTTTAACCCTGTTGTCAGGTTTCAGGTTTCTCAGGAATACCAGAACTTTAATATGATGATGTGTTTTAAGCACAAAAGTCATAGCTAGTTTTAAGTCAGTAAGATTGAACAGTAGGTTTAGAATGAGTGAGAGGTAAAGCTATTAGAGGTTTTGATCAGAAAGTATCATTTTGTAGTTTTAAGTGCAAGACAGTATATTAGAGTAGCGTAAGACTTCCTGGAAAGTGTTTTCAGGTACTTCGTTGAGTAAAGTGTTTCCATTCCTGTGGAATTTGTAGTTTGTATTAAAGATCAGTATTTTTGAAAAATAGTTTTCTGTAGACGGTTTTAAGTTCTCAATTTGAGACTGAGTGAAGTGTATTAAAGATGTTATTTGACATGAATGTCTAAAGGGGAAAGCTATGTCATATTATTGACTCTGGATTCTTACATTCAGAATGGTTGCTAAAGCAGTGTAGCTTGCTTAAGTTTATGGTTTCCTATGGTTCTGGTTTTTAATGCAAGATTTTGCTTTCTAATGATTTTTATTGTAGAAAACACAACATAAAAACTTGCCACCTTAACCATATGTTCATGTTGTGAAACATCTCCAGAACCTTTTTCATCTTGGAAAACTGTTACACAGTTAAAATAACAACACCCCTTTTCGTCCCTTCCCCAGCCCCTGTAGACCACCAGTCTGCATTCTGTCTCTGAATTGGACTGCTCTAGGCACCTTATAAGTGGAATCACATAGTCGATATCTTTTGGTGACTGGCTTATATCAGTTAGCATAATGGACTCAGGCCTGTCTGTGTTGTAGCATATGACAGGACTTCCATCTTTTTTAAGGCTGGCTAATATCCCATTGTATGTACACACCACATTTTGTTTATTCATTTATCAGAATATGGACATTTGGGTTGCCCCATCTCTTGGTTATTGTAAGTAATGTTGCCATGCATATGGGTGTCCAAATAAATACCTCCTCAAGAGCTTGCTTTTATTTCTTGTAGATACATACCCAGAAGTGGGACTGCTGGATCATATGTTCTATTTTTTTTGAGGAACCTCCATACTGTTTTCTGTTTCCATAGTGGTTGCACTATTTTGCTAATGATCCTTTTAATGTAAAATGATTGGAAATGTGAGATGTGCTTGTTGAGTTCTGTCTCTTTAGGAAAAAAATTTTAATAGTGACATTTCCTTTGGTTGTAGTTTTGATATTGAGAGTAGTTATTTTTGTGATTAAAGGTATCATAAGTATGCAGTAAGTTGTGAATATAAATGTGGACTGTAGAAATTAATACATTTTTATGTTTTGTTTCTTTTGCAGATTGGGAAAATGAGGTACGTCAGCGTTCGGGACTTTAAAGGAAAAGTCCTAATTGATATTAGAGAATATTGGATGGATCCAGAAGGTGAAATGAAACCAGGAAGAAAAGGTGAGATTTAATTTCCTGAATTTGGTGCTGATATTGGGACTAAATTAAAAATTAAGTGACGTACCTTGTTTGAAATTGAAATAATGTTGGCAGTGCACTAGGAAGATCCTCGGTTGATTCACTGTCTTCTGTAGTCTTTTTTTGGGTACCACACAACTTATTTCCTTCTTATTTTTTAATCCTCACCTGAGGATATGTTTCTATTGATTCTAGAGAGAGGAATGGGGGTGGGGGAGAGGAAGAGAAGGTGAGGGGGAAAAAGAGAGAGGGAGGGAGAGAGAGGTGGATGTGAGAGAGAGACATCAATTGACTCCCTCCAGTACTCGACCTGATGGGAGATTAAACCCACAACCTTTTGGTATATGGGATGACTCTCCAACCAACTGAGCCACCTGTCCAGGACAACACTTATTTTAATGAGGTGTCTTAAATATAGCTGTTGGAATAAAACCCATAACAAATAGTGCTCCTAATATCACTCCAGTTGGCTACTAATTTACTTGAATGTAATTTAAATTTATTTTTACATTAATTCTGAAGTAGAGGAGGCACTATCTGGGAAGTCTGTTGTAAATCCTGGTTCACAATGTTTTCTTTTGGATATTCTTTAGGGTGGTGTCCTTTAAGTGGGTTTTTGTCTTTTGTGCTTCATCCGGCATCATACAAGTGTACTTTATTAATTCACCAAATAGCTAGAGAACATTTGTGTGCCAGCATAAATTCATAGGTAATCTGGGTAGTTAGCTGCTTTAGGTTGATCCTTAGCTAATGAAAAAAATGCCTCATTCTTTTATTCTGCCTGTAAGCCATTTTGAAAGATACGGCTTGTTTCCTTCATGTTGTTTTAGGTTTATGAAACTTAACTTTCATACCCGTTTACATTTGTTCTGGATTGGTCATTCCAGCTGTTCTATTGTGTCCAAAGCCAGATTTCTTCTCAAATTTCTGCAAACGTGTAACTAAAACAATAAGACTAGTTTTTTAAAGCCCTTCTTAGGTGTTGTCCCAATACATTCTCCTCCTTCCTCTTAGTTTTGTGGCCTCCTTGCAGTTTTCTGAGAAGTACATTAATTCTTCAATTCCAGTTTATTTCTCTATTTGTATGGGTCCGATATTAGAATATTGGAAGTTTAAAGTACAAAGTTCTTTCCGTTCAAACTGTTAGTTCTTAAATAGTACAGACATGTCATTTTCTAACATTTTAAAAGAGTGATAGACCAAGCTTTTAATTCAGATCAGCCAATATAATTCACAACAACCCTTTGAGGTACAAGAACCATTTTGTATTTATTTTTAAAAAAATAGTTTTATTGATTTTTAAAGAGACTGGAAGGGAGAGGGAGAGAGAGAAACATCCATGTGAGAGTGCAACATCAATTGGCTGCCTCCTGCATGCCCCCTATGGGGACTGAGCCGGCAACCAGGGCATGTGCCCTTGACTGGGAATAGAACTGGCAACCTCCTGGTGCATGGGACAACGCTCAACCAACTGAGCCACACTGGCCAGGGATAAGTACCATTTTAATGACCAGGAAACTGAGGCTCAGAGGTAATGTAATTGTTTTAAGGTCATATAGGTAGTGATATGTGAGACTGTGATTTAAACCCTGACGCATAACTCTAGAGTGTACATTCCAAGAAGTCCTGTATGGATCATATCCCAGGGATTTTCTAAAGTGAAATGAATGCTTCTAGAAGAACTCAGCACAAGGGTCACTCACCTTGAGTTCCTGTGGAAATTTTGAGCAAATGTTGGAACCAGCAGGATGTAGAAATGGGGTGTCAAATACCAAATCTGGACCATGTCACTTAGCTTGCTAGTTTGCAAGCAATTGTGAGATACATCTTCACGTCACCATTTGTTCTCCCTGAGCCGAGTATGCATCATGCAGGATGCAGTGTTGGAAGTAAAACTAGATGTAATATTGATCTTCTCAGGTAATTGTGATGAATCTGTAATTAACAAATTAAGAGATTTTGTTCTCAGTGTTATACCGTCGTACCATTTTAAAGTGGCAATTTTGATAAAAACAGGATTTCAGTTGGAAGTTTGAAAATCCTCGAAAGCTTAAATAAATTTTCAACTTTTGATTTTTAAAACTTTGTTTTAGGTATTTCTTTAAATCCCGAGCAATGGAGCCAGCTGAAGGAACAGATTTCTGACATTGATGATGCAGTGAGGAAACTGTAAAGTCAGAGCCATATAAAACCTGTACTGTTCTAGTTGTACTGTTCTGTCTTTTTACATTGGCTTTTGTTTTTTAAACGTTGTTTTCCAAGCTGTTGTATATTTGGATTGCAGAACAATTTGTAAGAATACTTTTTTTTAATGTGCATTATTAAAAATGTTCTGAGTGAAGCTAATTGTCAACTTTATTAAGGGGGATTGCTTTGTGCCCACCACCACCTAGTGTAAAATAAAATGAAGTAATACAATCTAACTGTTGTGGCCTTCTTTGAGCAGAAGAACTGTTACTATTTAAGGCCAAAAGTTAACAGTTTATAGACCTTTTAATTTCAACTCGGCTTTTACATTCAAAAGGATTTATATTGTATTGAATTTATAAACTTGAACTGTGAAATCCACAGTTGATCCGCTTTCTGCTAAACAAATATCTAGGCTTTGATTTTCCACCCCAGCGATACTTCACTTTCCCCTTATCTTCACTTTGTTTTCCTTTAATAACTTGTCATATTCAGTTTTCCTTTCACTTTTTGCTCTTTTTCTTAAATATATTTTGCTAATCTGGAAAGTCAGTGAAACTGTCAAAATGTTAGTTATCTCAGTAAGGTACTTGTAATTAAAATATATGAGAACTACAGTTACTAATTCTACTGTATTAAATATTAGGACATATAGTTTGATAAACAACATGGCTTGTACGAAAACTCTGAGCAAGTTAGTGTATGTCATGACCTGTAGTGTTCTGTGTAGTAATCTTATTGTTTAGTCTGCAGAAAATAATGACTTAGGTGTCTGATTTGCTTTCACTTATTAAACGTTCACCATAGGATGATGTCTATAAAATCAGATATTGTTAAATTAGACTAGGATTTAATAAAAATTGTGAAAGCTTACTGGCCTAACATTTTCATTTTATAACACTGAGTATGAATTACATATAGCCAGAGATATCACGGAGCTTTACTGTTATAGTAGGTAATGTGGTTGGTTTTTAGGGGAAAGAGCATATACTTGTGGTTTTTGGCCTTTGCTTCAGTGGGCTTGGTTCTTTTGCAGTTAATCTGCTGGACTTAAATAAATGTTACTGAGTTTTAGCAGGCACTCTGATAGGATTTTCACTGAACCAGTGATAAGGCAGACACAGATTGAGGCACAGGTTTCAGGGGCTTGGCAGCAATAAACAGGGCATGGTGTGCCTTAGGGAAAGAATGTAAGGGAGCTATAACTGAAGTGAAGGCAGGGGAGTTCTCTGCAAACTAATGATATTTTGATCATGTTGATAGGACACAATTCTAGATAGAATAGTAAAAAGAAAGGTTTAAAGACGTGAAAAATTCTTGTTGACAAATTATTTTTGATAGCTAAAATAAAGAATTGGTTACTGCCATATCAGAGAGTTGCACTATTATACCAACTTTAATTGCTAACTATATCTAGAACATTTTGTAGACTCGTCAAGGACTTCACCTCAAAACCACCTGCCAGGCCACAGTTACTAATTTATCTGGCAGCTATTCTAAGTATTTTTTTGACATTTTTAGATTTTTATTTTTATTTTTTAGTGTTTTCAGCAGTAGCCCTAATCAGTACATAATTGGGGAAATAAATTCTCTTCTGGTATTTGAACCTTCATCAAATAATATGTACCAAAAGTGTTTTATACAATGTGTTTTAGACAAATCATACTTGATTGATAACCTGTTTTTGGAAACATGTAGTGTCCTGTTAACTTGATTGGGTAGATTTGTAAAGTTTTCCTTATATATACAGAAAAGGTAGTTAGAACACAGAACTTTGATTTTGGTGTAGATGGAGAGGGGGTAATGGCTGAATATCCTAGGTTTATATGCATTTAAGGAGTGTATGCATTTTGAAACAATCTGCTAATAGATGGTGCTGAAATCTATTATTAGGCATTTTCTAGCTGTTCAGCTTGTGTTGTTAACTCCATATAAGGAGTGCTTCTCTGGCACAATTTGGTAAGTTGACTGCTAAATTCATTTAAATAATGTTACTGGATAGGCAGTATATAGGAATTAATCTTTTCTTGTGTGTAGGAAAGGATGAGAACTGGGTTAAAATAGCCAAATTTACTTGTACTGAAAGAAAGTGTACTTTGTTTTCTGTTTAAACTTTATCTTCTTTGGTGAGATTCTTCAGGAAGAAAGCTTGGCATTTTGGGCTAGCCATATCTTACTGTGTAATGCCAAGATGAATTTAATTAACATCAGCCCTTGAATGTACCCAACATCAGGGCTTTTCTAATGGGGTTTTACTCTGTCTTTTCAAGTACAAGTAGCATTTGATCAAATTTTCAATGCTCTTGGCATTTTATTAAAAGAACAACCACTAAAAAAGAAAAACTGTATATAATTTGATGATTCTCTTGTTTTCATAAATGCTTAAGAACTTCTTTTGAAGACTGTTCCTACCTCATTAGCTAGTCAAGACCCTGTGATGATCAACCTATTCCACATAATATTTTTGGAAAAAAGAATTATGAAAATAAGTATGTACATCTTGGCCTTGGCTATTGAGGGGAAAAGAGAAAGAATTGAGAAGTGTTCCTGACATGGCTGTGTTAGAAAAGTACTATAAAAGTTTGAAATATTAAAGAAGCGCTGGCTAATATTTAGGTATTTCTCTTGATAGTCTTTGCTATTCACTTTTTATGGAAATTCAGTAAAAACACTCAAAAGTGTTTGTGTGTGTGTGTCTGTGTGTGTGTGTTTTTGTTTTTTTTTTTTTTTTAGTGGTGTTTTTCCAGATAAATTCTAGGGGTGAACCTTTACATAGTCACAAGTATGTAATTCTGTAACTGGAATACCTGTATGCTTTGCTTGGTACATCTTCCATGGAGATGCCAATGAATATACTCCTCCATCTGTGAATATTTTAAATGTTGAAATAAAAAATAAGAAACCTGCCCTATGTGTCAGCCCAGTTTTACGTGCCTGAACATGAATGTCTGCGTCGTCTATCAAATAGATTTCACTAATGAATGGAATGCCTTTCTGTGTGAGGGCTTTTGGAGTGTGAATTAGCCTTAGCACGTTAAGTCTTCCGAGGACCTCGGGACTGGACTGTCCACCGGGTCCAGTTGGAAGAACGTAAATACTGAGGTGTACACAGCCTCCTTCCTTTGCCCTGTGGATGTTTGCGGTCTGAGTATCCCTGGCTATACTTAACTGTGTAATGGGCTTCTTGGTATATTTCTTTTTTTTTTTTTAAATATGTCTTTATTGATTTCAGAGAGAGGAAAGGAGAGGGAGTGAGAGATAGAAACATCGATGAGAGAGCCATTGATTGAGCCTGCAACCCGGGCATGTGCCCTGACTGGGAATTGAACCCCGATCGCCTGGATCCTAGGTCGATACTCAACTGCTGAGCCACGCCCAGCCAGGCTTGGTGTATTTCAAACAGAGTTTCATTTGTGAAGCATTTTCCCCTTAATTAGTGCTCTTGCTTAGTTATGTATTGAGATCTCGTACAAATTTCTGTTCAGGTAAGTTTACACAGGGATAGAAAGGTCCATGGAACACTACTTATTTAATTTTGCTCCACCTGGTCAACTGTAAAACATACTCAAAAATCTAGTCAAGAAAAAAAAAGTATTGAATCACTGACTTGACGATTTTGTAGTATGGCTCAAAGGCGTAATGGAGCCAGAAAGGGGGTTTGAAAATCGTGAAACATTGAAAAAGTTATATGGAATTATTTACTGTATAACAGTTCATCCCAGACTTAATGTCCCTCTGAGTAAAAGACACTGTTACACAGGACTTTTCTCCACTCGCTTTATAGAAAAAGTCCGTTACAGAGTTCAGACCTTCCCAGACATGCTTTTACAGCCATTTTAGTCCTAGATTAACAGTGACCTGTTTCTGACTAAAGTGGTGAAACACTCCTCTCCTAATTTCACTCGTAGGCGTTTGAGAGTTTAAAATAGTTGATCCTTCTGCTGGATAACTTGAGGTTGGGAGTGGTTTAGGCCACTTCCATTCTTTAACTGCCAGAATAGAAATCGTCCTGAATTTCAGCAGCTGGATGCTATCACTACTATAACCTTTCTTGGTAAGAAAAACCACTTTATACAAAGTCTTTTTCCTACCACCAGGTCAGAACTTCTAAAGTTGCTCGTGTAATGGCTCATGAGTCTTGGTCCTGCTCCCTGATTAAGCCTGAGACTTGTGACAGCTCCCACTCTGGCTCTATTTTCCAAATAAGTGTTTGTTGCAAGAATGGTACAGAGAACTCCCATATATCCCTTTACCCAGAGACCCCGTTCAGATTTTGCCAGTTCCAATGTCTATAGCAAAAGCTGCTAACCCACCTGATTTGTCTCTAGTCTTAAGTCTTACAAAGTACCTCAGTTTTTCCTTGACTTTTACAACCTTGACATCTCTGAAGTTTGGTAATTTGTGGGCCGCTTGTGATGTTGACAAGGGCGGGGAAGGCAGTCTGAGGAGTGGAGACCCAGCAGCTTGGTTATGAAGGATGGAGAAATGGGATGGTGGCTACGGAAGGATGTTGCTCCTAGGGCGGGGTGTGTGACTGAAGCTGACATCTGAGTGACAGTGCAGATTTGACTGTTCAGTACACCTTTAAATTGACTGTCAGCTACTGTTACAACCACTTCACTTTTCAGCTTCTTCCTAAGTGCCACCTGAACCATGAACACTTCTAATAATTTTAAAGAAAAAAAATATACCTATTTTACCCCATGGTAACATCAAGAATCTGATCATGCCCTGGCTGGTGTGGCTCGGTTGGGCGTCGTCCCAGGCACTGAAAGGTTGCCAGGCCACTTCCTGGTCAGGGCTCATACCCAGGTTGCAAGTTCAATCCCCAGTCGGGGCGTGTGCCGGAGGCAACCGATCTCTCCCTCTGACCCCCCCCCCCC